AAAGTAATTGCTCAGATTACCAGATACAAGCATGCAAAATTGGTCAAAATAGAAATTTGGTAAAAAAAAATTTAAGAATTTAAAAATTAAAAAAAAAGAAAGAAATTTGGTGTGTGTGTGTGTCTTTTTGAGATAGGGTCTTGACATGTAGTTCAGGCTGGCCTGAAGCTCATTGTGTAGCCCAAGCTGGACTTGAATTCTTAATGATCCTCCTGCTTCAGCCTCCTGAGTGCTGGGATTACAGGTGTGCACCACCATGCCTGGCCAAAATAGAAAACTTTAAGCATTAACCACTGCTTTAAATAAACAAATAGAAATTAGTAGTACAATCATCCTAGCTATCTTGTGCATATACATACATCATTTTCCTCTTCTTTATTTCTTTTCTCCTTTCCCTCATCCCAATTGTTTGTTCCTTTTGAGTAGTTTCTTTCCCTTTTACTCTATCTATTGCATCTTTCAGATTTTATTTTTGAGAGAGGATTTTGCTATGGGGTTCAGACTGGCCTTGAGCTCACTTTCTAACTCAGGCTGGTCTCCCCCCGCCACTTCTTTTTCCTGTCTTTTTTGTCTCTTGGTTTGATTTTGGTAGATTATGTGTGTCCAGAAATTTGTCCACTTGTAGTTTCTCCAATTTGGTGACATTTAGTTTTTTGTAATAGCCCCTAATGATTCTTTGAATTTCTTTGGTATCAGCTGTACTATCTCCTCTTTCATCCCTAATTTTATTCAGCTTGGTCTCCTCTCTCTTTTCTCTGTTAGTTTAAAGTTTTGTTGATTTTGTTTGTTTGATCTTTGGGAATTTTTTAGTTTCTGCTTTGGATTTTGTTTTCTTTCCTTCTACTGATTTGGACTTTAGATTTTTTTCTAGTTCCTTGAGTTATATCATTAGATTATTTTAAATCATTCTTTTTTATATAAATATATATACTATGAACCTCTCTCTCTCTCTCTCTCTCTCTCTCTCTCTCTCTCTCTCTCTCTCTCTCTCTCTCTCTCTCTCTCTCTCTCTCTCTCTCTCTCTCTCTCTCTCTGTTTTTGAGACAAGATCTCCCTGTTACACTTCAGGATGCTTAAGCTCACTTTGCAGCCCAAGCTGGTCTTCAACTCGCAATGATCCTCCTGCCTCAGCCTCCTGATGTGGGGATTTCAGGTGTGCATCACCGTGCCTGACCTTGGGTCCTATAGATTTTATTATGTTGTTTCCGTTTTTCATTTGTTTCAAGAAATTTTAAAATTTCCTTTTCCATTTCTTTCTTGATGCATTGGTCATTTAAGAGAATGTTGCTGGGGCTGGTGAGATGGCTCAGTGGTCTAAAGCACCTACTTAGAACAAGCTAAACTAAGCAAAACACAGGGACCGCGGTTCAATCCCCCAGCACCACATGCCAGACAGCCCCGCCCCCTGGTGGGCTGAGCTGGCCACACACACAATATGAATGAATGAATGAATGAATAAATAAATAATTCTTTAAAAAATAAAAAAAGAGAATGTTGCTTAATGTATAAGTATTTTTATAATTTCTAATGTTTTTGTTGATATTTAACTCTATTGCACTGTGGACAGAGAAGACACTATATCAAAAAATGCCTCACCAGCCAGGATTCTTCAGTTTCTTAGTTGCCTAAGTAATAATTCCTGTTATAGTTCCTGTTAGTACTGTCTCCTAGCACAGCTGGTCATTGTGATGCATGTTGTAAGAGCCAATCAAAGACAGCCAAGTTCCCTGCTTCTTGCTTGTAATCCCATAAAAACCTTCCTCGGGCTGGAGAGATGGCTCAGTGGTCTAAAGCACCTACTTGGAACAAGCTTGGCAAAGCACAGGGACCACGGTTCAATCCCCCAGCACCACATGCCAGCCCGCCCCGCCTCCTGGTGGGCTGAGCTGGCCACACACACAATAAATAAATGTAATAAATAATTTAAAAAAAAAAACCTTCCTCACTGGGCCTTCCAGGTCTGACCTTCTGAAGGACAACTGACTCCCTCTCAGGGCCCGATGTTAAATAAATCTGCCTCCAAACCCTGGGTATTGTTTCGGTGTTTCTGTTCTCAAAGCAATGCATGTTATGATTTGGATTTGTTCGAAATTGACATGCTTTGTGTCCTAACATGATCTGTCCTGGAGAATAGTTTCTATGCTCATGAGGAGAATGTGTACTCCATAGCTGGCAGACAAAGTATTCTGTACATGTTAGCCCCATTTAGTGGTGATTATTTTATTTGATTATTTATTATTTGATTATTTTATTTATTATATTTTATTTTTTGATTGTTCATTGCAAGTATATAAAAATACAATTGTTTTGGTATTGGGGACACAGGGCTTTCACACTGAACTATACCCCACAACCTCCAGTGTCCCCAGCCCCTTCAGACAAGACCTTAAAACTTTGTAAGTTGCCCAGGCTGGGCTCAAACTTGAGATCCTCCTGACTCAACCTTCCACAGTGTTAAGATTACAGGCTTGTATTACCATACCCAGCTTAGTTATTTATTCATTTACTTATTTATTATGGGAAAATCTTATAAAGAAATGGTATTAATCAGTTTTCAAAACATTTGAGAGACATCACCAGGAAAGCCTTAATTGTTGAACTTTTTTTTATGGAGGGCTATAGATTAATAATTCAATCGTTTTCCTCTTTAAACTTACTCAGTCTTCCTATTTCTTCCAGAGAGTTTGTCTGGAGGTTCTAGCAAGACTTCGCAGAACCTATACCCTTAACGGAAGAAATGGTTCTCCTCTGTGGGGGGCTGTCGTCCTCTAGCCGACCTAGCGCGCAGCTGCCCAGAGGGACTCGCACGGAGCAGTGAGAAGGACGAGGACATGCTTCTCCCCGGCCGGATCAGCCGCCCCTGGCGTTCAGAGGGGTGACAGATGTTGCAGCCAGGTCCCCCTCACAACTTATATGTCTTCCTGAGAAAGTTTTGGTAGCTTGTGTCTGGCTAGGAATTTCTACATTGTAACTAGGTCATCGCATCACTTTAGAAACCCATTTCTTTCTTTCTTTCTTTCTTTCTTTCTTTCTTTCTTCTTTCTTTTTTTTTTTTTTTTTTAATTTACGTAATTGGTACAGGGCCTCACTACTTAGTGATCCTCCTGTTTTCAGCCTCTTCAGCGCTGAGATTGCAGGATGCGCCACCATGCCCAGACTCATTCGAGGGTTCAGTGCGCCGCAGGGGCGGGGCTCGCACAGCATGTGGGACAGGGCATCAAACCATGGTCCCTGCGCTTGCCAAAGCAGGAGCTTAGTCCGCTAAGCTACCTCATCAGCCCCAAATCCCGTTTATTTCTGTAAGGTCAATATCAGTGTTCCCCATTTAATGTCTGATCATAATTTGAGTCTTCTCCTCTTTCTCCTTGTATTTTTTTTTTTTAGGCAAAAATTCTCAGATGACTATTTTTAATGTCGTATACATCAAATTATAACAAAAGACAACTGGAACATGATGCCCCCTCTGGTTAGTAAAGAGCACACACACACACACACACACACACACACACACACACAGAGTAAACCAAGCTTATATTCCACCATCAAGTGTGGTTCCCCCATGAGCTCACTTCGGAGTGGATCGTTGAGAATATCTGCAAATCCAATAGTCTCATCATTACCCCTCAAAATATCCAGTGAAAGGTTTGAGCTAGAAAGAAATGGAAGACGCTGAACCTGCTGTGCTGCTTTGAATTCCATTTGTAATTTGAGAGGAGCAAAAGAGACCCTGGGTGTTTCTCAGTGTGAAAGGAATCATTTTATCTTGGTCGAGCTGGAAATTTTTTTCTGATACTTCAAGAGGGTGACTTGCTAATAGTTCATGTTTCACACATGGAAAACCTTTCCGAAGAAGATCATGTCGTTCAACAAAAGGCCCACTTGCTGAAAGTTCAGTCACTGGAGTACTGTCCTTTAGCTGAGATCCAAGTCCCCTGGCATTCATCTTCAGGCTGCTGTGTAAATGGCC